CTGATTGGAAACACTCTCTCTAGTCCGGATTTGGCCGGGCCATCCGAGTCCGATCAAAACAATCCTGTTTTTGTTGCTAACTCTCCCTCGGTAGCGTTACCCTTTTCGGACTCTACTTTTGGGGCAGGGACCCGAGTCTTCCGGTTCCAACTCTGGGGGCTCCCCAGCGCGGCGGCGGGGCGCCGACGCGGCGCCGTTCCCGCTGGCTCCGTCTCTGCCCCCCCCGCGCCGCTCCCTCTCGCCTGGCGCTCGGTTCGCTGTTTGTTTGATAAGCGCCATCTGGGCCCCACCCGACGGAGAGGCGACTCCCTGGGGACCGGCGCCGAGCTTGGGCTCCCTTCGGGGTTGGCTCTCCGCGCCCCTCCCGAGCTCTGCGCCCTCCCGCTCGCCCGGGGCGCCTTCCTTAGGTGTGTGCCCCACGAGGGGAAACCCGAGAGCCCGCCTTGGGTAGGTGATGGTTGCATTTCCAAGAAGCCTCACGAGGGTCTAGCTTTGCTTCTGGGCAGAGCCGCCCCCCGAGGCTGGATCTGGGAGGCCGCGGGGTGGCCCACAGCCCCCGGGGGGGCCTCTGGAACCTGTCCCTTCCTCATAAACTCCGCTCCAGGTATAGTGGCCCTGGATGGAAAGCAAAGTTAGTGTCTGCTCTCAGGGGAACAAGTTCAGGGGGCACCCAACTTTGCAAAACAAGGAAGCTTGCAAATGACTGAGCGGGGCCCCTTTAGAAGGAAGGGTGCTCTAACCAGCGGGGGAGGTGGTGGGATCTCCTGGCCTGAACCCGCTTAAGGAAGAGGGCTGGAAAGGGTGGAGGGTATTGAGAAAGGGAATCCTCGTGAATTGTATGTAACGATGTTTTAAACACAGGTAAACGTCCTTTTGAGAGTATCCAATACGACTTTAAGTAGGAGGTTTGTTGAACATCCAGTATAGCGCAACAAAGCTTTTTTAAAAAAGATCTTTCTTTTCTTTTTTTTAAAAAAAATCTAGTACAACTCAAGAACCTGTCCATTTTCTTGGTGTTTCCCTGACTTTCTGTGCTGTAGCTAAATCGCAGGGGGCAGGCCGGGACTTGGCCTGCTGGGGGTGGCAGGGGGGGAGGTGGGATGG